GAGTGGGGGAGAGAGTGAGAGAAAGAGAGAGAGAGAGAGAGAGAGAGAGAGAGGAGAGAGAGAGAGAGAGCAGAGCCTCCAGAGATCTGATTTTGCTTAATAACAAAATATCAATAATGATCCCTCACTTTTATTGGATACTCTGTTCTCAGAACCAGTCTCTTTCATGCATTAACTCACTTAATGCTCACAGCAGTAGAATTATAAGGTCAGTTCTAGTCAACGAACTTCTTAGGCCATTTCTGTGTTACTCTAAGGCTGGAGGTTAGTGACATAGGGAGGTCTGGACATCCCAAGGCCCGAGTTCCAAGCCCAGCTTCTCAGTGACTTCAGGCCCCTTGCACTATGCACCAAGGAACAGCATGACAGAGGAAAACACTAGGTAGAGTTGGGGGACACAGCTCCAAACCTGGCATCTATCTTGGGAATGCTGGTGCCCACTGGGGCCCACCTCACTATATAGGAGGCCCCCATTAGGAAGCCTTCTGCAAGGAGTGGCACAGACAGGGAAGGAGACCCCAGTTCCCCCTAGGTATTCTGAGAGGGGGCAGGACCAAAGGTTCCCTAAGGCCCTTCTCAGCTTCTGGGTCCCAGGAATTGGCTTCTGGCTATGTGAAGATGTGGCAGTTAATGGCGTTGCTCTTCCTGGAAACTTTGGAAACAAGCAGACCTGAGAAAGTAAGTGCTCATAAAGCTTAGGCATGCAGGTAGGGCCTGGTCAGGTGGCGCTGCATGAGGAAGAGCGACCAGGAGATAGGCTCCTTCCTGCCTCAAATCAAAAGACATCGGGGCTGTGAGGGCCTCAGAAGCTTTCACAGAAGGGGAAACTGAGGACTGTAGTATTTACCTTAACTGTGGCTGTTAGTGCCAAGACCAGAGTAGAATGTGGGTCTCCCCTGTTCTCTCTAAAAGTCTTATTTTGTGGCTTTCAAATAAGGAGTTGCTTTCCAGGGAATGCCGTGTTTAGTGAATGTGAATGATGGTATTAAACCAAGAAAGCCCAGCTCCCCAACCAGCAAAGCCCAGGGTTTCAAGGTTAATTATGCGTTTGCTTCTGAGTCACAGGGTGTTTCTGTAAAGAGACCCATAGCCAGCACCCTGTTCAATCACTTCCACTCCTGGGGAGGGGCCGAGTCGGTGCCCAGGTGAGCCGTCTGTCCTTCTGTCTGTCTGCCCAGCTCTCTGACTACATGGACCCAACTGATGCCAGGTGTACCCCCTCCCCAGGGACTGGCCAGAGTCGCCACAGTGACTGAGGATGCATTCACTGTCTGGGAGAGGAAGCTATAATTAGGGCAGCTTTGAGGGCCTTTAATGCCATTGTCAAGGCTGCCAAGCGGCACTGGGCAGCGTGGGCTATTAAGCCACCATGTGCGGCTCCTGAAGGCTAAGGACAGCACTGTCGAAGAGTTCAAGGTCTAGCCCTAGGCTTGCTTTGGGCAATCCTTCCTCACAGGGCCCCTGCACCTGGCCTAGGTGGTTAGGAGCAGGCAGGGGTGTCAGCTGTAACAACCACTGGAAAACAGGAAGCAGCCTTGGGTGGGCTCAGCAGACAGGGAGGGTTTATAAAAAGACACTGGATTCTTGCAATATTTGTCATGCTGAGTGTGATCCATTTTAGACAATGGTGGCCCTGTTCCCATAGGGAATTATCTCTTTGGTCCTCCTCCCAGGCTTCAAAGTGCCCTCTCCTAGCTCAGGTCCAGGGCTGACCTGATGCCCCTGCCTAGCTGGGAGACGGTCCTTAGGGGAGCTCCCTCCTACCTGTCATCTATATAGGAAAAAGCAACAGGACAGAGGTCCCAGGCACTTAATCTTTCCCCAATACTTGGTCTGTGACACCATTGTTGTAGTTAGGCAAAGGACTATGCATTAAAAATAAGTAAATGCTAGCTTAAACAGCACAGGGGTAAATCTCACACATATCTACCAAGGGGATGAACAGACATGACCCCCTAGCCTCCTAGGAGATGGCTCTCACCTTCACTATCTGGAATTCATCCCTGGAACCTAAAATCTTAGCCTTGGGCAGTTCATCTACTGCCTTCTTGGCTGACCCCCTCCTAGTGGCAGGAGCCTTCTTTCCAGCTCCTTTATTTAAAAGGGGTTGCTCAGCTGTGCTTGAGCAGTTCCAGGCATGGGGCTTGAGCTGAACTCTGCTACTCCGTGGTCTTGGCACACCAGCATTGGCCTCTGGAGTCGCATGACATTCCCAGGGAAGCCCTCCTTCACATGCTGGAAAGGCTTATGAAGTCTCCATCTTCTCTCTCTGCCCATTCATCTGCAGTTCCCTCAGTCGATGCTTGGACATTCTAGTTTTCGTGTCCTCTCACCATCCCCTAGAAATTCTTTATGAAGCCAGTTTGTCATTGGCCCTCTTGAGTTCAGAGTGGAACTGAACACAGCACTATGTGATCTGATCAGGGGAAGATCATCACCTCTTCCACACTTGGTACTTCTATGAAGGCAGTCTCAGATCACATTAACTTTTTTTTTTTATTATTTGGTCTTTTTGAGACAGGGTCTCCCTGTAGCCCCAGCTGGCCTGGAACTCACTATGTAGACCAGGCTGGCCTCGAACTCACAGGGATCTGCCTGCCTCCACCTCGAAAGAGCTAGGATTAAAGGTGTGTGCCCCAACATTAACTTTAATGGGCAGTCTGATTGCTTTATCACTAATAAGTCCTAAGTTTTTATATTGCACCCCCTTTCCTTTTTGTCTCTGTCTTTGTCTCTGCCTTTCTGTTTTTCTCTGTGTGCGTGCGTGCGTGCATGCGTGTGTGTGTGTGTGTGTGTGTGTGTGTGTGTGTGTGTGTGTGTGTATACTTGTGCATGCAGATGCACGTGTGGAGGCCAGAGATCCACTTCAGGTGTCTTCTTTGGTTGCCCCTCCCACCTCCATTTTTTATATAGAATCTCTCACTGAACCTGGAACTCATCAATTCAGCTAAGCTAGTTGACCAGATAATGAGCTCCCAGGATCCACCTGTCTCTACCTGCCCATCACCGATGGGGGTTACAGTTCCTTCATTTTTTTTTCTAATTTTAAAATTTTAAAAATTGTTTATTAGAATTGCTTTCTTAAAAAAATAACATGAGGGGCTGGAGAGATGGCCCAGTGGTTAAGAACACTGGTTGTTCTTGCAGAAGACCCAGGTTTGAATCCCAGCACCCACATGGCAGCTAACAACTGTCCATAACTCCAGTATCAGGGGATCCAACGGCCTTGCCTGTCTTCTGAGGGTATTGCACGACACGGGTGCACTTACCTACATGCAGGCAATATCCTCATACACATAAAATAGCTGGAGAGATGGCTTAGCGGTTAAGAGCACTGACTGCTCTTGCAGAGGACCGGAGTTTGATTCCCAGCACCCACGTGGTGGCTACGAACTGTCCTTAACTCCAGTTCCAGTGGAATCTGAAGCCCTCTTCTGACCTCCGTGGCATTGCACGACATGGGTGCACTCACATATATTCAGGCAATACACTCATACACATAAAATTAAAATAATAAATAAAATATTAGAAAAAATAAAAAATAATAAATAAAATATAAAAAAACATGATTACAATGAAAAATTTTGTGTAATTCGGAGAATT